TAGAATGTAGGTGTCACCCCCCGGTGGCTACTTTTGGAATTATTCTTAAACAAGATGTAACTGGAAAAACTAGTTGAGGAACGACCACTCCTCGAGACGAGTGGACAAATGACCTATTAACATTCCCAAAGAAGTAAACCAAAAGGTAATACAATTCTTAAGAGTTTAGAAATATCTTGCGCACAGAGGGGTGTGAAGCGTTCAGGCAAATGGTCTTGTTGGGCTGCTCAAAAAATGCAAATGTCCATTGTTAGCATAATGTTTTCGTGTGAAGGAAGTTGCAGCAAAGGGTTCGTGGCCCTTTTCTGTAGGCTAAGACCCCATTTACACCTTTAATACCAGGTGTAAATGGGGTCTAAGTTACTTCAGATGAGCCCTTGAGGCTGGGAGTCCGCGAGACACTCAGCTTCGTATTTCCATAATGACTGGTTCGTCTTCTCTTTATTCCAGAACATTTGATGTTTTGTAGTGATTATCTTTGAACTGATGATAAATACCTGACATAATAAATTGTTGATGATTCTAACAGACTTTGATAAGACACTACAGGTGAATAGCGTTTTTTTAAATAATAGATATCACCATGAAACTTCCTCAGTTGATTACTTACACATGTATATAAAAAAATGTATTTTTCGTTTTTTAAATTTGTATATTTATTATTATGCAAAGTAGACATCATCTCATTAAATATGCACGATTTTGCGTATATTTTCGCTAGATAGATCTGAACATATGATAAAGCCAGATGCAAAATTATTTTTTTATTTTGTTTACACACAAGATGAAAAAAAACTTTTTTTCAGGATATATGCTTTCATTACCTAGGAAATCAAAATATTCTGTCCAAATATTTTTTGATTAAAATTTCACATAAATCAGGCCAGGAAGTATTCATTAACATATATTATTTATTATAATTGGAAAGTTTGGTGTACATATTTGCTATATAGGCTCAGATATTTGTACTGGAGAATGACCAAAAAAACTCATTTTGAGAAAAAGGCATTTAAAGATTTAATTGAAAAAGAAATTGAGGGTTCAAAAATCAGATCTGCCCCCTCATGGCGGTGGCCCTGAACATTTATATAACAGGTTGATGCACGTTGAGGCCAGATTTAACATCGTCCCGCAGGAATCCTCAAATCCTCTTTCATCAGTAGGCTAACTCTAGAAATGATTGTTCACACTGCTGAGTGATGGACTGCATGTCTCACCTACAATACAAGAATCTAGCAGATGGGTGTGTGAGGATGACATGTTGCTCTGAATGCCACAGTGTGACATAATAATACCTTGCGCCTTTGGCACAGGTGCTGACAACCGAGACAGACAACAAGGACGCTCTGACATCAGATGAATGTCCGAAATATCTAGACCTTATTCTATTTTTACTTTTTCAGAATATCAGGGATACTTTTATAATATTGCATACAACTGAATTTAACTTTAAAAAAGCGCCATTGCCACCAACATGCAATTCCTTGTTTTACCTTGCAGCCACCATAGTTTTGTTGTAATCAGCAATAACCATGTATTGACGCACACACGACAGGAAATCTGAGCTCAGACAGGACGTTTGGCACTGTTGACCTCCTGGTGAAGATATGAGTCTTGTATTTCAGTTAAATGGTCGTGGGATTAGTCATTTTCCCACCTCGTCAAACTACAATCTGAGGAGACTACCGTGGCCATGATGGCAGGGTGTAAAAATAGTAACAACCCCTATTTATAAGACACAGAAACACTCAGGAGGGAAGTAGCAGCCTTTATAAGAAGATTTGACTGATACCGTTCATATCTTGGCTTGTTTGTTTTGACAGCTCACTGAATGAGATGCATTGTCTGAGCCGGACGCCCAGGTCATATCTGCTGAACTTCTTCAGTGATTTCCAGGAGACTGATGAGATTGCCAGAGAATCGTTTGAGGCCACCTGGTTAGACCTACTGATGGAGACCAGACCAGAATACAAGTATGTGTTATTGTCTTTGCAGATTTTACATGTGTTTTAAGGTATGCTTCACCCAAAAATTCAAAATCTTTATATATTGCCCTTGTTGTTCAAACCCTGCATGCTGTTATCAGCAGTTAATAGTAGTCAGGACTGTCATTCAGGACAAAAAAATAAATAAAAAATCATCATAAAAGTCATATTCACTCATGCTACAGTACATATTGAAAGATTTCTGTGAATAACAAACCAAAATTTGGTTGTTATTCATTTAATATTTTCTCTCATAGCCTGCGTTTTCCCCTCACAGAATGTTATTGCAGCTTCGAAAGACTTTTTTTTAACAAAAGTGAATGTTGAAAGGAACTTTGTACGATTGTAAAGTGTGGTGTTGAGTTTGTTGAGAATTTACTTACCACGCACTTATTAACTTTCACAAGTCCTCCTTCACAGGATGACACTTGTTGAGAAGGACTCAATGAGAAAAGAGAGCTACGAAAGTAAGCAGGTGGTTCATTTCACGGTGCGACGATACCCAAACCAGAGGATTCGCATGGGGAGAGAAGGGGAGCCGATGCTGGAATATCGTTTACCTTACAGAAACATTCTCCCAATACCACTATTTGTGCCCAGAGATGCCAGACAGCCTGACGTGACCCGCGAGCCGTCGCCCGCCATGGACACTGAGACTTGTTTAAATGGAGTTTGCCTGCAGAAGAGAGAGGTCTCGTCCATTACCGAACATAAACCACTGGTAATCCAACCCAGGAGTCCAGACTTTAGAGCGTCCAGCCTCATCTCTCCACCACGAGACGCTCTTCGCTTCCAGCGACGAGAGTGATGAGCTGATGAAAGCTGTCTGCCATCATGGACACGGATACGATGACAAGTATGGTGGGTGACCTCAATCACACTTTAACTCCAAAGCCTTTTAACCCCATATGCTCACAAATATTGAGAAACCTTAAGGAAGGAAGATACAGAGGCCACAAAAAGTCATTTTCACAGACGAGGCTTAAGATAGCACAAGACTGTTTGAGCTGTTTGAAGTGAAAACAACTAATTAAATGTCAGTGGCATTGTTTTGTCTCAAGATTAGGGCTGCAACATACAATTATTTTGATAATCGATTAATCTAACGATTATTTAGCCGGCTAATCAGTAAGTGTAAATGGTTATTCAGCTTTTTCAATTAGTTAAAACATTGAGTCATATATATTCTTGCTATAAACTGAAAAAAGAAAATCAGTTCAGGTTTTGAAATAGTTGTTTTAATGAACTGTGAGCCAACTAAACAGGTCATTCTCTTTTAAGTTTTCAGATTTCAGTCCAACTCAAATCACATACAAATGCTCTCTAAGCATTGTTCAATAGGCCCACTGCTTTTCTTAGAACCGAATCAGAAAAGGGGTCAAATGCATTTGTGAAGGGCTCTAGCGCCACAGCGCCGTAGCGGTCAAATCGCGATATTGCACGCCCTTACAATACAAACGTTAGATCAAACGACTACTCGACAACAACGATATTTATCGACCATTTTTTAGTGTCGACAATGTCGACTAATCGTTTCATTACAGTAATGATTTTTTTTCAGGGTATTTTTATAAAAGCTATTCAAATGCCCTACCTGAATTAAGGCCTAATCCTAGTTTAGTCCCTGTCTGTGAAACCACCCCAACAGGGTTCTCAAGTTTGAGCAAAAGCTTGGAGTGAGATCACACGCGGTTAGGGGAGGAGCCATAATGAAGCCCCGCCCCACCCATCCCCGCCCCCAATTTTACCCATTGTTCATAATTAACCAGAACAAATTAAAATTATAACAATTAGTAAATCTGATAAATGAATGACAGAGCAATTCATCACATCAAATACTCTTTAATGCAGTATTACAAATATAGCTAACCAAAAATATAACAAATTGCTCCAAACAGTTTCAAACAAATCTTTAAAAATTGCATTTTGATTTTTGAATGCGTCTTCTATCTAGACGAATGATTTATTGTGTGGTGGGACATTGAGAACAAATGGACAGATTAGAGTGCACCACCTCTTCCACTGTCTCCTCCTCTAATCTGGCAACCTTTTTAGGGGGCTTACCCTTTGGTGCCCAAAATGACAAAATATCTTTCTGCTTTTTTCCTGACATCTTTGAAAAATACAAATGCAACATTATGACAATGATTAAATATTACCCAGAGCAATCTGCTGTAATGCATCCTTAATGTATAAAGACTATTAATATTACAGTATAATATAATTTAATTATTTTATATTACCCACCTTTCCATACCCACTAACATTTCTCTTAGTTTCAGATAACGTAAGATAGTTGTAGAGTTTTTGACTGCATCAATAATAATGTACGATGGGCTACATATTAAATGTTCTAGCCCAAAAATGTTAGACGAGCTTCTTCCAACTTACCTTCTTCTCCATCACGACACATGTGTTCGCGCGATGTTGTTGGTTACCTAGGATACCGAGGATGTTCCGTCCATTTCCGTGTGTTCGCGCTACTGAATGACATGTCATGTATAGATCAGTGGTGCACGCAGCGCGCATATATGTTGCCTAGTAACGAACGCAATCTGGCGGAGATACGCGCTGGCGGCAGGAAACTTCACTTTGTTTGCCGGCGCCTCGTATACAACGTTAGAAAGCTTTCAGCCAGGACAACTTGGTTGGCATTGCCTTTTCAGCGTGAGAAATACACAGTGTGGCGTGTGACCGTGTGAACCGGTCGAAATGCGTGTGTCTCACGGCCAATGCGTGAGACTTGAGAACCCTGCACCCCAAAATGTATGAATATTATGCCATTGAATCATATCAGTTTTATCATTTGAAACTTTTAATTGTGAAATTACTTGTTTCAAGTGTACAATAAATGTGTGATATGTAATGCAGTAACATTTATATATTTTCAAAATGTGGCTTAAGCATCTAAATTTGTTTAATTGATTATGCTAAATAGTTTCGCAAAAAAAGGATAAACAAACTGGGAAAACATTAAAGATCTTGATCCTGAACAAAATGTCAACACTTCACAAGTCTGAATGAAATGTAATTTAATTTGTATATGATTATATGAATGAGCTGTTGCTCTTTCTCAGCAGGTTTACAATGAACTGCGGAAGAGACATCTCTGATGGACATCAACATCTATTCAAAACAGTTAGTAGTTCTTGGAAATAAATGCAATGAATACATGCTTTCTTGACTGTACATTTCGTTCATATGTGCTTATGAAAGCATGGCTCACAATGAAAAAAACCTCGAGTCGATAAACTGTAATATATTTATTTTCAGAAAACATATATTGTCAGTATTTTTTATTTTAGTGGTACATATTAGATATGAATCATCTTTAGATTGAGAATGAGTTAATCCTCTGAAGTTCATAAGTAATTCTATTTGATTCTTCTGCGTTCTACTTGATCAAAAAAGGAGAAAGAAAACAAAAACAATTCATGTTATGATACGATTGTCAAGGACTCAACAGGTTTCCTGAAAAAGTTTGGCATAAATAGCTGATAAATACTCATGACGAAACATTTACGGAAACAAAATCGTACTTGTTTCTTTTCATAAAGATCAACTGTCCTGCATCAAGGTCTGCTGGAGGATGGCGATGCTCCTTTGAGCATCTCCTCTGCCCTCTTGTGTTTCTGCAGGGTGACCTGCAGCTGCCAGTACCTGAGATACAGCCACATCAAATTCCCATTCCTACGCTTATCCATGTTCAGTAAATCTCCACAGTGTCTGTCGTTCTTAAAAATGTCCCTGAGATCGTCCTCTAGGTTCAGCTCGGCACCCGCCGGGTTTTTAGCCACCTTCAGCAGCAGGTTCTTCTCCATCTCCAGACGATGTTCCCGCGGCGTGAGGATGCTGCAGAAAGCGTCCTGCCTCTCCACTAGCTGAACCTCCAGTTCCTGTAGCAGAGCCTGAGCCCTGCTCTGCCAGTCCTCCTCTCGCTGCAGGGCTGTCCGCAGCGCCACCCCGGCCACGCCAGACTCTAGCAGGCGCTTCTTCTCCACATCCAGATCCCGCCGTTCCTGCTGAAGCTGCTTCCGTTCCTCCATGAGCTGCTGAGACTGAGAGATCAGGGCTGTCTTGAAGCCCTGCACACGGTGGCGTTCTTTCTCAAGCTCCACCTCCAGGTGTGCTGCCGTCCGCCGGTTTTCCCTCAGTGTCTCCATGTACTTCAGCTCCAGGTCTCTGCTGATGGCTGCCATGTCGCAGTCGTACTTGTTCTTCACATCTCGGATCTGGCTCTGTGATTCTCGAGTCCATATCCAACCTAGTTGAAAATACACCCGCAGAGATTTTAATATACTGTGATCAAAGTGACCAAAACAATTTAAACCGAATATGACTTTTGACAACCATATGATAAAATGCTCTAAATCTAAAATCTACAAAAAATGGCATATCAGTATGCATCAGTTTTATTGTAAACTGAAACTATTAAAAAGGGTTAAATTATAAACCAGACTTTTTTATGGGGGGATTTCTAGCTATTTATCGTATAGTGGATCAATAATATGTCCCTTTTGTTTATCAATCAAAAAGAAAAAAAAAATCTTTTTTTTTTTTAGAATATTTTGAAAACTCTATATTTCCTTTATTTTATACTTTGATTTTAGTAATATAATGAATGATGTAGAAAGAGATAAAATAGCTTGATTCTCAACTTATTTTCAACCACATTTATTACTACTAAACCATAATTCATTTAGACAAGGCAAGTTTATTTATATAGCACTGTTATGGTAAGTTGTCATTTTATGTTCATCATTATTATTGCTATTATGTAAAAAAATGAGTTGATAACTCAAAAATAAGAAATGTTGCCATGGCAGCTAACTAAAATAAGTTTTAAGTACAAAAATCGCTCAAAAGTAAAACTTATAAGGCTAAACCGAAAAAAATTAAATAATATAATATAATATATATATATATATATTAATGTATTATCACACACTATATATATATATATATATATATTTCTGTTTAGCCTTATGTTTTAGTTTGAGCTGTTTTTGTACTTAAACGCTGACAAAACATGACAAAATTATTAAAACTGAAAATAAATAAACGCTATAGTATACTATAACATAGTAGTTTGTAAATAAGATGTATTCAAAATTAACGTGAAAGTTAGATGAAAATTGTGATATGCCATTAAGTGAAAGCTTAGTCATCAATGTTTGGTTTGCTTCCAAAAAGAAAAAGACTGTGAATTTTAAATTGTTAATTAAAAACCTGATACAATATAATTATTACATGATACACTAAAAAGGTAATACGTGAAAAGCTATAGAATTTACTTAATGGATTTCTTTTACAACCCACTCATAACCCCAGATTTCATTACAGATACAACCTATAAAGTGGATAATCCAGTATAATGTACATTCAAGACATTTGTGAGGGTGAATGACTTTGAAAAGTATGTAAAGACCCCTTACGAAATGCTGCCAGCCCGATCATGGGCACCAGGAGGGCATAATTCCACCTGCCCCCGTCATTTCCGGCTGGCTCTGGTCTAATATTCCATCTAGGAGGATCGTTCAGGTCGTTCATGGAGAAACTCTGATCAGAAAGTAAAGTAAAGTAAGGTGCTTTGTCACAGTTTCGTGTATCTGCCACACATCAATCAAACCACTGCACTGCATACATCAAATTATGTTACTAATAAAGAGTAAACAACACAACACTGCTAAAGCTGCAACCCTGAAAAAAGATTATGCGTGCATTTCTCCGGCAGTTAACAATAGATTGCACAATAGATATGTTCACATTTTACTCTCGTGAACATGTTTCCTTTGCTTACCTTGAACAATCTAAAGTTTTTTTTTCATAAAGTGCTTCCAGATCTAGGCAGCCTAAACGATTATGCAATAGTCCATTAAAAACATCAAACATCCATGTATTATTTCATAAGGGAGTTGAATACGTTTATTATTAAAATATACATATTAAATGCATAGTATAGAAAAATAATTCATCTTTAAAATAATTGATTAATTGTATATGTATTATAAAATGTTCATAGGTCCATCTTTATTTACAAAAAATACAGAAATACAACAGAATTGGATTTTGAACACCCCTAAAATGTAGTAACATATTGGTATAGTCCGGAGAGGTACGTATTTTAGATTCTAGATGTTCGCAACTGCGCAGTGGATGTGCAGAACAGTTTCGTCTACAAAAAACTCAAAAACCTTATTACACTGAGATCTCTTAGCAGAAAGTTTGTTATGCGTAATAAAGCTTTTTTTTATTTATGTAAGAAATACTTACGATTTTTGTTTTAGCAACATAGTTGATTGGACATGTACAAAACGTTTTTTTTGTGGAAATTAACAATGGTGTTTTGTTTTGATATTAAATGTTGTTTGATGTTTTGATATTAAACCTGATAATGATGAAAATAATTTTTGTTTTCCCTTATTCTAAAAAGAAGTCAAAGGGTGACTGAGCTTTTTAAGTTGTGACTCCCAAGCTGTGGAGCAGTCTTTGCCTTCATATCCAGCAAACTCCTACAATAGAAATGTTTAAGTCTCAGTTGAAAACTTACCTTTTAGATAAGGATATTGTACATTGTAGTAATACGTTATTTTTTATTTAGTTTTCTTTCTCTTTACACTGATCTCACAATACAGTTGTGTGGAGGGTACATCTAAAGAGTGTGTATGTTTCATTATTTTTGTTATAACTGTGAAGCACTTTGGGGAACAACAGTGCTATTAAATGTGCTATATAAGCTGAAGAATAAAATTGATTGAACTGAAGCATAATCACAAAATCATTCACAAATCTGAAACAGTGATCTTTATTTAACAAAAGTATTTATTTCATTTCATTTACATGTTAAACCAATATGGACGTTTCCTGTTGCGTTCTACTATTCTCTTGTCTTTATCTGCATCAGAGGGCGTTTCATTTTCATACAAAACAACAGACTCTACAGCAGGAGTGTTGAGAGGTCCGCCTTCCATGATGGACATTTGCTTCCGTATCAGTGCCGTCTCCTTCCTGACCTTTTCATAGCAGAATCCACACAGAGTATGCTTCAGTTTCATGTTGCCACACTCTGAACACGGCTCAATGTTGTACTGGGAGAGAAGGAAAAAAATAGGATAGGTTGCTCTTTATCTAAACAGACATCTGTTTACTACAAAGCTCTTTTAATTTGTACCATGCTCTAGTCTAGTGGGAATCAATGAGTTCTTACCTGGACTTTTATAAGTTTCCTTGGATCTCGTCTTCTGCAGCGATTTACTTCAATGGTTCGTCTCTTTTTAGGGGCGGCCATCCAAAAGATACTGTCCAAGAAACTGGGCTGGGCGTTTTCATCATCACTGCTGTGATGGGACTGAGGAAGAATCCCGGGACCATTTACTGCCAGAGCTGGACCTGAAGATGTGATTGACAGATTAATAAAATAAACAAACGGAGTTCCTCAAATTATTTTGAACACATGCTTTTTAACATTATTTTTAACAAATGGACAGAGATTTGGGTATGGTACCATTTCAAATATACCTTACCCAAATGTCTGTCCATTTATTATTTATAAAAGGAAGATATGGGCTTATATTTATATATGTGAAAAAAATTATCAAAAAACATTACAACAAAAAAGCTGAACATGAACAGAAATACATATATTCTTTAATAAAGATGCTTAATTAATTTGTAAAATAATTTTAATAAATACGATATATATTAAGAAAAAACATGTATATTTTAAACACAGTAATGTTCTGATTAATCTGTAGTATCCTTCCCTTAAAAACACAACAGATGTGCCATGTGTCTCCTTAAGACCTTGATACAACACCAATAAAAGAAAAACAAACTGCTAAATGGTCTTAAGTTAAGCTTCAGTATATAACGTTACATGTATGTACAGTGATATGAGAGGAGCAGAGTGTCACACATGACACGTTCATTACAGTAACGTTAAATGCACTCACCGAAGCGGTCAAATCCCGCCGCTTGTGATAAACTAAGTTCCAGACGCTGCAGAGAACGACCAACAAACTGAAGTAAACCGGTCAATGACATTGTGTTCGGTATTTTATTTCAGTTTAACCCAACATGTACAGACTAAACATCCTCACGGTCAAAGCTCAAAAATACCCACTGCGCCTGCGCGTTATTCTGCATCCGTGCATTCTGGGATTTGTAGTACAACGATACAAAAACTCTGCTTCATTCTGAGCGGGTGAGAGCGGAAAATGTTCTAAAAACGAATACATATTTCAATTATTACTCAGTGGTAAACAAAATGTGACGGCCAAAATTATATTTGAAACTAATCTTTAAGCTGCCTACAATACCCACAATTCACAAACATACCCTTGTACCTTTTTCAACCAATCAGATCAAGTAAGCGTGTGTCGTCACTTCCCCAACAGTCACACAGCCATGGCAGACAGAGGCTACAGTTTCTCCCTCACCACTTTCAGGTAATTAAAATCGCGATTTTATCATATTCAATGCATTCATCATATTAGACGAATGTGTGTTTTTAGCGAATCGCAAATCTCGAGGTTTATTGAGAGCGTTTTGTCAATTAAAGGTGTTAATTCATTATCTAAGCGCTGATGCAGAGTCACTGTGTTTGTGATGGGTGCTTCTTTCATTCATGAGCATCAACGTTCATGCATAGAGTAAACTATACACAATAATGCTTCCCAGATCAACAAAAACAACACTCTCGGGAGTATTTAAAAGACAGACTAGCGCTCAGTTTTGTCTTTGTGATAGATCATGCTGATTTTACTTTCACTTTCAGTGTATCACTGGAAACTGCCCCTGTTATACATTTATGTCCTTTTAATGCACATTAGTAAGCTTGCAGTTTACAAAAATCAGTTGATGGTTTTCTTAGTTATTATAATATAATAAGGACTATAGCATTTTTATGTAATATGCAAATCTGCATATTTAAAATAATTGTGCCTCATTTGGATATTTTGACAAATACCATATTTTGGTTAGTAACAATACAATACAAAAAAAACAAACATCTTATTTGTGTACATTACAAGTTTAGTTTTGATTAAAGGAAAATGAAAAAAAGAAAAGTATATCCTAGTCAATCAGCCTCATCTTTATCATTGCATGTTTTACCTAAAGTCCAGTGTAGTTTATCATTTTGCTGACCATTTACAATCTTATTTTTGTGTTTTCAGCCCTTCAGGGAAGTTGGTCCAGATTGAGTATGCTCTGGCAGCTGTAGCAGCTGGTGCTCCCTCGGTTGGAATAAAAGGTTAAAAAAAAAAAAAAAAATTAAATTTGCGTTGTTTATCCACCTTATTCTTACGTCCCATGATGCTTTGCGCGAATTTTGGCTGTAACTTCCAGTAAGCTGTAAACAATCAGTGAAAGGCTCGCTCTATGAATGCAATACATTTACAAAAGTGTCACAATGAGATGACATTAATCGACTCACCCTTCAACCATCGAACATTAAAATGAAATTTAAAAGTATAAAAGAGTCAACAAGGTCCTTTCAATAGACCAAAAATAGCCCCAAAAGCGTGAGTCTTTGGTTAAATATCACTGTAGTAGACAAATATATGTCTGTATTGTAATAACAAACCTTAATCAAAAATGCTCATTAACTTCAGCATTACGTGACTATATCAAAGTGATTTCCGTCATTTTGACAGATTATAAATTGCATTTACTTGTGAAAACAAACCTGGAAAGAGACATGAGGATTTGAGGAGAATAACAAGAGATTCTTTGTGCATTCCAGTGAATTATTTAATGGAATATCGTAAATTAAATTCTGGAGAACAGACCACAAATGTGCCGTATATGTTGTCATACTTTTACAGCGGATTGCAAAGGAAAAAATAAAAATCATCATGAGGAAAATAAAGCAGCGACTGAAATGAGCTCTCGCCATAGATATTCTTATTATAACATGTCACGTTAACATACCAAATATAACGTTATTCTCATGTTGTCTGAAAATAAATCATGAAGGAAAATTAAGACAGCTCATCCAGTCTAACTGACAGCTTTATTTGTAGGGCAACCTTATGATTTGAAACAATTTGTTTTAGCCTTTTTTAATGGAAGTAAACGAAACCAGAAGTGCCACCCATAATTCAAAACGCAGTAAGGTCGTCAGGAATAAGGTGGAGAAAACTTGGTTTCATCATGTGCTTATCAATTGTCTTCTTGACAGAAAAACACTTTCACTGAATTTTCACTTTCATTTCATCCTCATTTCTCTTTAACAGCCTCAAACGGTGTTGTTCTGGCTACAGAAAAGAAGCAGAAATCTATACTGTACGATGAGCAAAGTGTTCACAAAGTAGAGCCCATAACCAAACACATCGGTATGGTCTACAGTGGCATGGGTCCAGACTACAGGTATGGATTTGGAGCCTGTGTGACCTAACGCTATGTAATAATGATTCCTAACAAGTAGCACATGAAGCTTAATGAGATTTTTGTTGTAAAAATTTATAAAGTTTATAAAGTTGGCGTGAAACAGAAGTTGCGATAGTCCTTTCTTCCCTATTGTGACACATATCTGAGTGAAACAAGAAAAAAAGTAGGGCGGGACTTGATTGTCCATGTAGAATTGATTGGATTGGTGTGGTTTTCATGTGTCCCACCCTGGCTCCTGTAAACATGACATCAGAGAAGAGATGTTGCTGCAAAAGGATGGGAAATTTATTTTGATTTAAGATTATGAGGTCACAAGAAGAAAAAAAGGCTGCAATATTCCATATGTTCATTTTGATTTCATGCTGACTTTAAATCATATCTGCAGGGTTATGGTGCGAAGGGCACGAAAGCTGGCTCAGCAGTACTTCCTGGTCTACCAGGAGCCGATTCCTACAGGCCAGCTTGTTCAGAGGGTGGCCTCTGTTATGCAGGAATACACACAATCAGGGTATGTGTGATGCAGTCGAGCTGTTACAATTATTCTGGAAGTTGAGTGTTGTAAAACAATATTTTGAGAAGATGCTTGACGTGCATTTATCAAAGTGACAATGGCATAACTTGAAGCTTTTTTGTTTCGACACAGAGGAGTTCGGCCTTTTGGGGTGTCACTCCTGATTGCTGGCTGGGATGAAGACCGCCCATACCTTTTCCAGTCTGACCCCTCAGTATGCTATTCACTTTGGTGTTATAATTATACTTATTGCATTACTGTAATCTAGTTTAAACTGAAATAAATGATCTGTTAAAAATGTAAGCTCTTTATGTACTGTATATTAGCAAAATAAGATGGACTTTGATCTGTTTTAGGGAGCATACTTTGCATGGAAAGCCACAGCGATGGGGAAGAACTATGTGAATGGGAAAACATTCCTTGAAAAAAGGTACAAAATGAACATGCATGCTTCAAGTCTAAGAGCTTTTTAGTCTTTCTAAGCACAGCCTCTCATTTGATTCATTTTCAGATACAATGAGGATCTGGAACTGGAAGATGCGATTCACACTGCTATTCTGACTCTTAAGGTAATAATTGACAACCAACCTATGTCTGTTCAACTTTATAACTACTCTAAAATGCTAATGTTCTGGCATTAGACTAAAACTTATTGACTTTGCTCACAGAGGGCATAACTCCCTCCAAAAAGATAATTTTTGTGCCTTTTTTTGTATGTTATTTCCACCCTTTTTAGTTTTTAACAATCTTCTTACAAAAAAAAAGTATTTTTTGCCAAAATATGGCTATTATTGCCAAATAATGGATTCAATTTTTGACCAGTAACACCATATTAGGTAAAGAATTTTAAAGGACCTGTTTAGATTTTACTAAAAAAAGGTTTTCGAATTTGTATCATATGTTAATGTTAAAAATCTTGTGATGTTAAAAAATGTAATATTAATGGCTGTTTTTATTGTGTATATGTCACTCTTGTATTTTTGTAATTCAGTTTTTGCCATGAAGAAAGCCACAGATGCTGACATGTATACTGACTGAAACTGCACGTCGCATAGCATGACGCTTTACTTGCCAATGCCCTAAATTAAATGTCCTAAAATGTCAAACATCAAAGTTATCTATGACTACTTTTGTTACAGGAAAGCTTTGAAGGTCAAATGACAGAAGACAACATTGAGGTGGGAATCTGCAATGAAGCAGGATTTAGGCGACTGACCCCAGCGGAGGTGAAAGACTACCTGGCTGCCATTGTTTAAAATCACTTTTACAAGTTGTTGTAGATTGAGCACTGATTGTATTGTCTTCATCAGTCCAACTTCATTAGTACTTACTTGTTAGTTTGAGCAATCTAAAGCATTTGAAATAAGTGAAAGTTTTGCTTTCTTTGTCATGGAAGGAAAAAAATAAACAAGTCTTTTGAAATCATGTTGTCTGTTTCCATTTGTACTACTGTGGAATGTTTTAGATTTGTGCAAAAGGCAAAAAAACGAAAATATTCTTTGGTTTATATCATAACTTTGCAATGAATGCTAGAATATGGCGCCAAGTATCTGATATCTGTCCTCGACTGTCCCTAGTAAACAAGCTTACGACGGGGTTTGGCTTGTGTCAGCCAATCAGAATCTTGAGCCCTTGCGTCACTTATGGCGCGCCAAAAATGAGTCGGTACACCTTCCTAACAGTATTCCTACGCAAAATCGTATTACTTGAACAGATAAATCCCTCAAATGATTTATCATCGAAAGGCCCAGCAATTTCTCTCCTATAATTTCATCATATCTATTTGAATAACGCGTTAGATTTGAAACCAGGGATTTGGTTGGGCGGTCATTCGCATAAACAGCCCTAGTTTCTGTCTCGCTAGCACATTCGTGTTTGCGTTGAGTGTCATTCGACAGTAAGTGACGTTTGTGGCGCCAGAAATCAAGAAGGACTAGTGCTTTTTCAAAACGATGTGTTCTAGTTCAAAGCGCTCGGCCTATTAAAATCTTGACAAACACAGCTTAAAGTGAGCTGACAGTGAATGGTCTGGGGGTCTGTTAAGGCTCGTTAAAGATGGTGATGTTACGTAGGAACGGTGAAATGGACTCGAGCTCGGAGTTTCTGTCGTTGAACCCGCCTCAGAGAAAGTCCGCTCGGCTAAAAAAGGCCCATGATGACAGTTTAACGAGCGCAGAGGACAGTCCGGCCAATGTGAGTTAATAACCATTCTTTACTAGTACAAATATGTCAGTAATGTGTTTGTTTACCTACAGTAAATATCTTGCTCTATCAAAACAAAGTTGGCGCTTAAATTGAGCGCGAGACGCCTGAATGAACTGCAGAGCGCGCGACTTGTTAACAGTTCCAAAACAAAAACAGATGATCATTGTTACCTCAAATATAACGTTACACAAGTAATAATTTACAAGGTGCAGGAGGATAAATGTAAAGGGGTAACGTTAAGTTAGTTGACAAGTCAAAATCATAATTCCGTTTTATTGGTCAATGAAGTTTTGCCGCAATGAAAAATATACACCCATAGCTTAACGTTACACATATGATATCACCTCTAAATAACGTTATATGTGGTGTGACACTTCTGACGATTACAAATATATAATGCAATCATGATAATATGAGCTTCTGTCAGTACATAACGTTAGATGACAGAAAATGCTTTCAAAAATAGTTCTATATAGCATGTCATTCTGATGGACACTGCTATGATACATACATTGAATATATTTATTTTAGGGGTTTTTGTCTGTAAAGGAGGAAAACGGCATGAGGGGCAGAACTCAAAGAGGAAGACATGTAGTCACCTTTGCTGATATGAATGGACAAAACAGCACATCTCCTCCAAAATCCCCTCCAAAAGATGAGAAAAGTGTGAGGAATTTAAGGTATGTGTGATGTTTTAATTTCTGATTCTTCAATTGTTTGATCAAAAAATCATCTTAGATACTGAATGCACTTGGACACCATTTGTTAACTTGTATATTGTTTCATTTATTAATTATTCATAGGAAATCTCCAAGATTTCAGGCAGATGGGGAGCGATCGGCAGATGAGCACACAGGTGGGAACGTCAGAGTATTTAATAAACGTCAGACAGCAGTGCAGTTCTCTTGGTTTGCTGCTTGCTAAATATGAATCCATTACTTTTTTCAGATGAGGTGGAATCAACTCCTACTTCTCGAAGCCTGCGTGCTCGAAATCAAAGGCGAGAAGAAGACAGCGCTGTGAGGCGTAGCTCAAGAATCACAAGATATAAGCTTGACACCAGGAACCAGTCGGTCCTCTATGACAGGCTCATCACAAAGTATGCGCTTACATAGAAAACAGTTATATTTCGGATTATAAGGACAATGACTAAGTTAAATAACATTTTATGAATTTCCCATTTTGAGGATCAGAAGTCTAACGTAAATTCACACAAACCAGTTTCACATTGGACCTTTATATTTAGACTCAGATGTGCAACTGGCTTTGTGTGTGGATATTTCTGTGGTTCTTGGGTCTCAGTGGCTGTTTTGGTCTGTTTTAGCACTGCAGAGGCTGTGCTTCAGAAGATGGATGACATGCAGAAGATGCGTCGGAGATTGAGGAGCAGAGACAGTGAGGAGGAGGTGCGTCAACATGATCTTCATCACTGATGACTCCTGTACTTCTGTGATCAGCCAGGACTTAACTCACTGTTTTTGTGTTCCTTTTTTAGAATTTGATCATTTACTCTGGAACAAAGAGGAAGATGGTCACAAAACCTTCAGTCAGAGGACAGGAGGAGAGTTCAGACAACCAGGAGAATGGTGATGATTGTAGATCAGGAATTCATTAATCATGTGCACCTTTGCGTGAATCTATAGCCCAACAACTAAAACATTTGCGTTAGCTCCAACATTTATTTGGACACTCATTACCACACATTTTTATAAAATAAGGATTGAAAGACTAGAAAAATGTTACACAGGTTTATTAGGTTTCAAATTATAAAACAATATGTATATATATTTCTCTTGTCTAAATGAAGATGCGTACAACAACAATTTTTTTTAACAAATGATGAAGCTAATTTTAACACTGGTGTAACAGGTTTATGGGAGTTGAATAAGTCTAATCACTGCCCTGTTGATTTGGCATGTGATCAAGGTACAAATGTTTGGTGTAGTATAATTAAGAGCATATGTACCACAAAATATTATTGTTTTTTTTGTTTAGTATGTTGGTTGGTCTGAACCTGTATTTATTTCCCAGAATACAGTGATCAAGAGGAGGATGGAGAAGGTGAGGAAGAGGAAGAAGAAAATGATGAGGGTGATGATGATGATGATGATGAAGACGAAGAAGAGAATGGAAAGCGCTACGAGTTCCGACAAAGAAAAGCTGTTGTGCGTTACCAGGCGCCTCTTAAAGGTTTGTGTAATAGTTCATTAAAGAGACCATGTACTGATTATAGATCAGATATACACATCCCTGATTTAAATCATCTTTTTCTCTGCCTTTCATGCCTTTTAGTATTTTTCCTTTTTTCTAATTTTTTTTTTTTTATTGCAGAGCCAAAAAAGCAGAGCATTTTTTTTAAACGTCACTCCACGCCAGTTAGACGAAGATATCCATTTAGTTCCTCAAGTCCCAGGAGCTTGTACAACAACAGGAGGAGCACCAGGTCGGTACTAGTCCTCAGTTTCTCTTCAATTTTTTTTCAACATTATCAGTTTATCTTGGCTTGACAGGGTCTTGATTCTTATTTGAAGGCGTGCTATGTTTGACACCCTGTCTTAAAAAAAACGAGGCAGATGTGAGCCAGATGCTGAAGGAACAGCAAGCCACAGTGCAATTGCCAAAGACTTTGTATTAATAAAACAACAATTGAAAAATAGTGCAGACGGAACTTGCTTTATCACCCAACATCCCATCTCAAGTAGTGGAGTATTACAGTCTTATCCAAATGCACACCCCTTTGCGCTGTCCATGTTATAATTTCAGTTCCACTCATCTTTGTGTTTCTCGTGCTGTAGTCCAGGCAGGAGTGAGGGTGATGGGTAAGCCAATCATTCATACAGCCTCACTAGATCTGCATGTGGATTTATTAATTAATTAAGGGGCTTTCAAAGTGAAGGTAACAAATAGCACTTTACAATACGTCACGCTATAAAAATTACAAATATGTTCTGTGCACATTTAAATGAGTTCGTTTTGGAAAGAGGTGTTTGGGTATAGGAGGTGGTGGAGAATTTTATTCAAGTTTAGACTTTTCGTTGATTTGAATGTTTTACGATAGTCTAAAATACAATCTTTCTGTTCTTTTGTCTTCATCTTAGGAGAAGACATGCCATACACAGTAGTGACTCAACATCATCGTCATCATCATCTGATGAAGAGAAATTTGAGAGACGGAGAAGTAAGAGTCGTAGCAGGTCAATAAACAGGTAAAGAGCTCTCGCTTTTAGAGGTGCTATGCTTAAAACATCTGGGTTCAAAGTCTTGCAGAGCAGACATGACCAATCAAACAGCTCTGTACTTGTGCACACAATAATTAAGCTATATCTGTTGTTGCTCTGTAAGAGTTTTTTCTTAGATATTATTATTATTTAGATTTTGTAGTCTTTAAATATTTTAATGCAATTATTAAACTAAACGTTTAATCACATTTTGCTTGTAGATGCCTCCCTATGAATCTACGGAAAGAGGATTTGTTGGGAATCCATAAGGACAGGATTAAAATTGGTGCGAGTCTCGCAGATGTTGACCCAATGCAGATTGATCAAACGGTATGTGCTTGCCGTTTGAATTGAACTACAAACATTTTAAAGACCTTTTACATGACTGTGGGGTTTCCATGTGCAGGTGCGCTTTGACAGCATTGGGGGTTTGAGCAAACACATCTCCGCATTGAAGGAGATGGTTGTGTTTCCTTTACTGTACCCTGAAGTCTTTGAGAGGTTCAAGATTCAGCCTCCAAGGTTTGAAAAGTGATATTGACAAATATTCATATTAAAATGCCTATTTGGATGACTAAAGAACAGATTTCAAAAATGAGAGGTGATGTTAAATATCACCTTTGGCAGAACGCATGTTGAATGACTGATATTTTTCCAGAGGCTGTCTGTTCTACGGCCCTCCTGGCACAGGAAAGACTCTGGTTGCTCGAGCCCTGGCAAATGAGTGCAGTCAAGGCGAGAAGAAGGTGTCGTTCTTCATGAGGAAAGGGGCAGACTGCCTCAGCAAATGGGTGGGCGAGTCTGAGAGACAGCTCCGCCTCCTGTTTGACCAGGTTTCCCACACTTTATTTAAAAAAATGGTCATTCATTGATGCCTAATTTTTTCTCTGCATGATTTAAAGGAACTTTGCCATTTATTTACCAGGCATACCAGATGCGTCCATCGATTATTTTTTTTGATGAAATTGATGGTATCGCACCTGTTCGGTCAAGCCGGCAAGACCAGATACACAGGTGTGTTAGTCTGCGTTTCTGTGTGTATATATGTATGCGTGTGTGTATGTATATTTCTTGTTTAAAGGTGCTTTTTACTGTTCATTTGTAAATTTTGAAACGTTTTTTTGTGTTTTATGTGGTCTAAAGCTCCATCGTGTCCACCCTGTTGGCTCTCATGGACGGGCTGGACAGCCGTGGTGAGGTGGTTGTTATTGGAGCCACTAACCGCCTGGACTCCATCGATCCAGCGCTCAGACGGCCCGGGCGATTCGACAGAGAGTTTCTCTTCAGCCTACCAGACAGAGAGGTGGGGAGCTCTATTGTACAATAACTTATTCAGTGTTTTTTTTTCCGACTGCAGTGAGTGTTTTGTTTGGGATAACTAGGGTTTGGGTATCGTTTCAATTTGAACGATTCTGATTCCGATTCCTTGTTTCGATTCCGGTTCCTAACGATTCTCAATTCCGATTCTTTTAAGAGGCAGGGTCAAAAAAGTTTAGCTAACCTTGCTAACCAACGGTCTTTCGGAAGAAAATAATCATTTCTGAAGGAAATACTCCTTCTGTCACAAATACTCCTTTTGTCACAAATTTTGCATTTTGCCGAGATTTCGTTATTCTTAGAAAAGTGAAGCCACACTTTGGACCGCCGACGTAAGCTACTCATGTTCGACTCGCGCGGTTATGCCAACACTTCCGGTAGACGCTTCTTCGTTGGTGTTGTTCAGCGGTTTCTTCTTCCGCTCGGCGGACTGTGAATATCGAAACTAGGAATTGAAATTTTAACTTTTGAACGATTCCGGGAAAAACGAAAAGTTAGTCCCGGTTCACATCGATTCTCGATACCCAACCCTAGGGATAACCCATGAGACGTTGTTGCTTCTTTGTAGGCTCGCAAAGATATTTTAAAGATCCATACCAGGCAGTGGGACCCACAGCTGTCTGATGTGTTTCTTGAAGAGTTGGCTGACAAGTGTGTTGGTAAGAGAGTATCTCATGTTTTACTTTGTAAACCTCCTGTTGAGCGCATCTCATATAATAGCTTACCTTTGTCTCAGCTTGCTCAGTGCTAAAACAGATGCTGTAGCTTTCCAACACCCCCAGGACCTGGGTATTGCTGTTTTGGGGTTTTGGGTAGCAGTGTTCTAGTACTCTCACTCTTCTTTAGTTCTTTCAATGGGCTCTATGCACGGCGGTATTTCCGGTGAAGGATTAAGGATGCTCGATAACTTCCGCCGATCGTAGAGTCCAATGCAATACTGAGAATTTATATTGAATTTTATACTCCATGGTTATAATAAAGAAACGTTAGTCACAAAAACAGATAAAACAGACAACCCCTCGTTGTGTTTATGCTTCTTTTTAAAATTATATTAAATAAACATAACTATATATAAAATTACATCTAAACGTATCTATGTTTCGTTTCAAAGACAGGAGGACAGTAAATTTTGAAGACTCTGCCATAATCCCGTTTTCCTCGGTTTTCCTCCGCTTTAATCTCCACAACCGGAAATGGACGAGCATCCTTGCGTCAAATGCGGAATTTATGCGTGCATATAGCCCATTCTGGCATTTAGAGAGACCTCAGAACGTCTCGACCTGTCCAAGTGTGCAGTGCTTTATTAGAGTGAACTGCACTGTCATCCTTGATTTTTTTTTATACCAGAAGTCAAAAATATGGCTCCCTGTGCTCCTAGGTTACTGTGGTGCAGACATCAAAGCCGTGTGCGCAGAAGCAGCTCTGTGTGCGCTACGCAGGCGCTACCCCCAAATATATGCTTCCTCCCAAAAGCTCCTGCTGGATGTGGAGTCCATCAGTGTGAGTGGCCGGGACTTCCTTTCAGCCATGAGGAAGATCGTTCCGGCTTCACAGAGGGCGGTGGCATCTCCAGCTAAAGCACTCACCCCTATTATTGAACCTCTGCTGAGCTCTGCCCTCAATAATGCCATGGAGATGCTGCAGAAACTATTTCCTCATGTAGAGCAGGGCCTCAAGAAGAAAAGAGATGCTGGTAAAGGTAGCTTGCTATTTTTATCTCCCTTCTACAAAGCAATAAGAAGACCTTAGTATTTGCATAACATCGTAGAACTCAAACTATAAATTACATTACATTATGTCACATTTGCACGGGCAGATGCCACTCACCCTTTTTTTTTTCTTCAGAAAATGTAAATGCAGTTTGTATTTTGAAATTCTTAATCATGCCATCAATGCGAGTAAATATTTTTTATTTTAGGGGGTGTGTCTGACATATTAGAGGATCTACTGCTGAGTGAAGATGAGGGGTCCTCTGTGTGCTGTAGTAATAAAGGCCAGAAGAACACTGGGCCTGTTCCATCTGCTCTTCATCTGAACAGGTTAGAAATTAAGAAAAATGTTTCTTGTGCTTCCCATATATATATATAATTTCCTGATATCCAGTTTAAGGGATAAATGTTAGTCAAATGAGGTCTGTCATGTACACAATTACCCTTTTCTTGACTGAACTGTTTAAATGTAGTTTCATCCACTATATACGGATAAAAGTTCACAGGAAAGCCTTATGAAATAAAATAAAGTGTTGTGTAATTACAGATTTGTTTAAAAACAGGATGCAACTTGTCAAAAATATAAATACTTATGTTGTCTTGAGAGGTCACTCAAGTATTTTGAACAGAGCACCAAAACATGTTTAGTAATTACATTTTAACTTGTCATCAGTGCAATTGCATACTATTCAGCCTATGGTATAATTTAAGTTTTTATTTCTTTCATTACCTGTATTACAGGACTGCCCTGCAGCAGCCCACCTCATTCAGACCCAGACTGCTACTTTGTGGGACATCAGGTTCTGGTCAGACTTCACACTTGGCTCCTGCTATTCTTCACGCCCTGGAGAAGTTCACCGTTTATACACTCGATATTGCTGTGTTGTATGGGGTCAGTTCAGCCACCGCAGAGGAGGCTTGTGCCCAGGTGAACACACTGAATTTATACAAAAGCTCAAGATACCCTGATAAACTTGTTTTCTTAAATGACTATCAACCTTATATTATACATTAGGTTTTCAGTGAGGCGAGGAGAACCACACCCAGTATTCTTTATATTCCACACATCCAGCGATGGTGGGACACCGTGAGCTCTACGTTGAAGGCTACATTCATCAGTCTCCTACAGGACATCCCTTCATTCTGCCCCTGCCTCCTTCTCGCCACATGCAGCTTTCCTCACCAAGCGCTCTATCCTGAGGTACCACATGAACTGAATAAACCAGTATCAGGGCTTGTTTAGCCTAAAGACTAAATGAAATATAATTTGTGATACATTTTATCTTCTGTAATGATATTGTGTGACAGTTTTTCTTGTTTACCTGTTTAAAGGTGCAGGACCTTTTTCATGTTGAGTATGGCGAGGTGTTCAATGTTCCGCTTCCTTCTTGGGAGGAGAGACACAAATTTTTTGAGGATCTTATTTTAAATCAAGCTGCTAAAGCCCCAGCATCTAAGCGAGAAGCAGGTGAGTTTTTTTGTGGTGTTTTTCACATTCTTAGTGGAGTGTTTTCATGCACACCTCTGATAACTCTCTCCTCCTCAGTCCTCCAGGCTCTAGAGGTGTTACCGGTGGCCCCTCCGCCACCTCCTCGCCAGCTGTCTGAGCAGGAGATGCAGAAGTTAGAAGAGCAGGAAGAGAGCACGCTCAGGGAACTACGCCTCTTCCTGCGAGATGTCACCAACCGACTGGCTCAGGACAAACGCTTCAAGGCTTTTACAAAGCCTGTGGACATCGAGGAGGTAAGATAGTTTTCAGTCCCGAAGTTCTTCTTAATCAACTCTCTCTAGCTGTTGATATATTGCTGAACCAGTGTTGTCCTCACTGAAGTCATGTGGTTTTCATTTGGGAAAGGTTCCTGATTACACTACAGTCATCAAACAGCCCATGGACTTGTCCACAGTTCTCTCCCAAATTGATCTGCACAAGTATGAAACGGTGGCAGCTTACCTGCATGATGTGGATCTGATTTGGCAGAATGCCCTTGAGTACAATCCAGACAGAGACCCCTCAGGTAGGCTGGGAATTGTAATGTTTATATATTTTCTATGTATATATGTGTACTGAACATTGGTAACATCCACTGAATAGGATGTAGGTTGAACACCATTTCCATTCAGCTTGGCACAATGAATGAATGTGTGGTCAAGGGATTGTCAGCTTTGGCTTATACTTCAAAAGCATACCTAATTCAATTTCATAGTTGGAACTATCCTTTATGATTTTCCAAGATTGTTTTGCAAATTTGCATGACACTTGCGTGATTTCTGTAGCATGCAATTTCTATGATGTTTGTGTTTGTAATAGATCGGCTCATCAGACACCGTGCCTGTGCTCTCAAGGACACGGTACAGGCCATAATCAGAGATGAATTAGATGAGGACTTTGAGAAGACCTGTCTTGAGATCAGGGAGTCTCGCATCAAACGAGGTTTCAGTGATGCTCCATTGATTTTTAGTGTGGTATCATATTTGGATTGGAGTGAGACTAGCATCACTTACATTTTATAATATTTTATTTTTAGGCTCCACCTCATCACGGTTCACTCCTGCCTACTATCACGTGCTGCCAAAGATGTCCGCTACAGTCGAGCAGAAGATGAGTGATCCAACACCCAGTAAAGATGCTACACCTGTGCCAGCACCAGCAGTGATTGCATCACGTCAAACAGGAATTAATACAGGTGACTGACAGTGATTTAATTCCTCACATCAGTGCTGTAGAGTCTCTTATTACTCATCTAGAGCTGCACAATTGATCTGGTTAAATTTAAAAAAAAAAAAAAAATTTTTTTGTTAAATAGAGATCACTATTCTCCCATGATTCTGAATGAAAGCAGGCATCTATTAGTAGATTCCTAATATATCCACTGATAGCCTGCATGCTTTCAAATGCTCCCATGTGTATCTGTGTAAGTGCTCTGTGAATCAGAGGTGTTTAAGAATCTGTTCAACAGTGCTCAAAATGCTAGGGGGGAAATGCTAGTATCGTCACATTTTTTAAATTTCACGTTTGACAACACGAACCATGGTAGAGACAATAGTCTAAAATCTTTACCGACAAATACTGACCAATTTCTACCAGTTAATCGTGTCTAATCGTCCCCTATATGACAGCTGCTCTCTGTGGGTTAGATTTGAACACAGATTCGAATGTTCACTGTGAATGTACTTGTTAGAAGTTTAGACAGCAGAATCATTGTATGATTCAACAGCATACTTGAATGCTAAACGCCTTATTGCAATACTAAATAAATAAATGTCCAGTAATTCATTAAAGAGCCCGTAATAATGACCAAGAAAGTGGTTTTGTCTTTCTTGTCAATATTATTTGATATTATTAATTACATTTTTAGCAGTGGCTTATTTTTTAAATATTTACCACTACTTGGTAGGCTTTCTTCTATGCAGGCTGCAGGTGAAATATTTTGTGTATCCACAGCTTCACAGATGAAAAAGAAGAGGAAAGGTCGATGGAAAAACGGCTTCATCCGCAAAAAGAAGTCTTGCTCGCATTTGAACTCAAAAGACAATCCTAACACGGCAGAATCAGGGGATGGAGAGGAGGATGAAGAAGAGGATGATGTAAAACTGGCTGAGAGTGAAGATCCAGAGAAGATGAAAGATGTTGAATGTGAGTCAATGGAGGCTGATGAGTGTGCTCGTGCGGATGGACTCCCAGAATCCACTGAGGTGGTGCAGAATAACATCTCTGAGAGATGCGACATTGACAATACAACCTCTACAGTGGATGAAGTTGTGAGTGTTGAGACGGTCCAGAATAATGTCACAAATGTGGAAAATGATGTCCAAGCACCAGAGAACACTGAACCTAAGAGGACAGAGCCAATTGTAGAGGACAGCAGTGGAATGGGTTAGTTAATCACAAAACCATTGAGCATATTCTAACAGTTGTGGTGTGTGTGTGTATGAACATTGAGTTTGCATGGGTTTTTCAGAGTTCAGACTGAGGCGGATGACAAGAGGTTTAAGGAACCAGGCTGAACAGCAGAGTCTCATCAGTGTGGATGCTGCCATGAAGATCCTGGAGCAGAAGAACCTGCCTCTTATCGTGGACCACAACAAACTAAAAGTATGCCACATATCTTTATCTAACTGCAGAAACCATTACAATAAGTGTAATCGACGACCTTGCAGTGTGCATGCTACCTCGACTTTTACATTGGAAGGGTGTTTTTAGACTCTGTTTTGATTTCGTTCCCGATTCAGGAACTTTTACAGAGAGTCGTGGACATGACAGAGGGATATGAGGTCAACCAACTGGAGAAACTGTATGCTCTGTTGTGTCAGAGCATTTATAGACACAGGGAAGATTATGACAAGACTGCACTTATACAGGTATGTTTTGATAATACAGAAACACATCCTGCAGCCTTATTCATTTACTATTCTGTTGATTATGCAGTAGATTAAAACTATTTGAGTGATTACATTTTTCTTATTACTTTATACGCCTACTTAATATGTATTTTCTTTTCCAGGAGATGTCAAAAGAAGTTGAGGAGTTTTCCTAGTTTTCTTAATAAACAAACCACAATATATTTCTTACAAGAAGTTACTGGTCTATAAATTATATTTTGTTTATTCTTTTAGTCTTGACTTTGTTTTTGGGCATTTTGAGTGCATAATAAAGCCTTTATCACAAGTCTCATTGTCTCGCTTTTAGTTTTCATACCAAACATGACTTTATAATGGTACAAATATATGATCTACTATTTTCCCTGAAGTACTGCAAGTAGTTGGGTGTTGTAATCTCGTGTGGTTTCTGCTCTTCTGGTTCTGATGAAATCTAAATCGTGCTAATAGGAAAGATATGTATTAGGGCCACGTGACCGCACGTTTACTCTGATTGGACGGTTTGGAGATAGTACGTTTCTATAGTCAGTACTCGGGTTTTAGTTTATAGAGAGGTTTAAAGTCAACAAGAATGTGCAATTTGATCCTATAAAGTAATTTGTGGGTGTCTTGACTGAATTTACGTGCAAACGTGTTGTTTTATTTACGATTGTACGTGACGCCGAGGAGTCGCCTGGCGATGATGTCACGACGTATAGCACTGACAGCAGTGACGCCTGATGATCATTGAAAACTGCCATTAAAATGAGCGCAGATGATTATTGTGTTTACTGAGAGAGCAATAAAACACCCTCGTAGCGTGCCCGGCAAAATAATAGAGGGGCTGAAACAGGGAGAGAAGCATCCGATCAGCGTAGCATCTGTCTGGTCCATCCAGGGTTTTCCCCCCTCGCCTCCGCTCTTCCTGCAGCCAAACCGAAGCCTACTCGCACCCAGAGCCCCGATATCACACTAAAACCCGCTGCCGGTGAGTTCCAGTACATCCTTGAAGCTCCCTCACTAACAAAGTATCATGGTATTATCTTGATTTTATACACTTTGTAATATGGTAATACCATAGTAATTTTAATAACCTTGGGTTACAGGCATATACAATGAATCATGGTAGGCTACAGTTCTGATATTTGGAAACACCATAATACTTTGATATATTATGGTGCTGCTAATTGGTAAAATTTGCAATTTGGTAAACATGCTACCATGGAAATTTGCACTTGTACCTTGGTATGGTACTGCCACAGTGTTTGCAAGGGAAGATTAAACACAATTTTGTCATGCTCAGTGATGATACTGGTGGTGAGTGGTGATTAAATGTTGGATAGATTGTAACAATGGTTATTCAACCTAGTAAAGATTTTGAATACTGTACTGTTAATTTTTAGTCAATGTTATTTATTGATGCATCGACTAATGTATACACACATACAACTTTTAATGTTAACAATGTATTGTAATGTAAATTAACCAAAAATATCTGTCATAATCTAAGCCCTGTCTGTGAAACCAGGCCTGAAAGTAAGCTTCATATTTAGCCCCCCAAAAAGAAAGATATTTGACAGCTGTAGGTTACTACATAGTCTGCAGTGGCACTAAATCTAAAGGGCTATAGATAGATATATCAAATGTTAGATAATAGATAACGGTTTACAACTTCACATTTACATGATTGATCTAGTGTTAACATACTTATTGTAAAGTTCTACGTAGATTTTGCAGTGTTGGATTAGCATTTAAAGAATTGTATATTTATCTTTTTACATTTGTAATACAATTGTAAATATTTTTGTAAAGTCATACAGATGTAAATGACTTTAATAGTGGGGTGCAGCAGAAGATACAACACTTGTGCAGTAATTTGATCTAGCGTGTAAATGCATGCATCATTGAATGTTGATCATGATGTCAACTGTCCTGTGTTTACATTATAACCAGTGTCTTGTGTATGTTTTTGTTTCTCTGTATCGTTCAGGATGCTGAGTTCAAATCTTGGAATGGGACTAACATTTAGCATATAAATTCAACCTCCTGGAGGTTCTGGCTCGCTCATATTTTTCACACTCACAAGCACAATGTCGAGCAGAAGGAAGTCCACGACCCCCTGCATGGTGCTTCCGTCAGATGTTGTAGAGCAAGATCCAGATATGGAGGTCCTGGAAGGGAACGAAGGAGCCGAGAGTATGGCAGACGGTCCTACAGAGGGAGCAGTGGTTCCCATGGAAACAGAGACAGGTGAAGTTCACTTCTCAAGGCAGTTTTTTTTTATGTCCTTTCAGCAAAGCGCTCTGTCCATACCAAGTGCAAGTAATTTTTATGTTCATATTGAAAGCTCAAATGCTGCAAAATCAAAACCTTATTGGTGGTTAATATACAGCTATGTTGAGTGTGATTTTGGACCAATGAGATTTACACTGTGGGTGGGGAAACCTATCACAAAGCAAAAAAAATATATAGCAACCTCCTGTTGCACATATCACTGTTGGTTAGGACGAAAAAAAAACTTATTTAACAATTCAGGAGTGCTGTTATAATTATGTGAAGCATCTGTTCTTTTCTGTCATACTGACTCTAATCAAAATGATCCCCTCACTGTGCTTACAGAATTTGAGGGGAGCCATTTCTCGAGCGAGGACTGTCATTCTTCAGGAAAACGCTCAGGTCAAACGTCACTAGAGCAGCCCATTTCTGACCTTACCACTGAAGGTGGTTTTGTGCAGACAGAGATGGAAGATAGTGATGACCCCTCAGTTACCGGAATCCCAATCAGCAAGACTCCCATAATGAAAATGAAAAGCAAATCTGAACCCAAGAGAATAGCCATGTCTCTAAAAGGCACAAGTGAAAGCGAGACGATGGCCGAAAGTGAGATGGATCTGGAGCCATTGGAAGCATCAGTGATGGGCTCTTCCATGGCAGCAGAACACATGAGCCCATTGCTCACGGAGTCCATAAAGCCCAGCGTTCTCGTCAATATTTCAAACCCTGTGGTAGCAGATCAGAAGAAGCTGGTTATGAACTCTGCGACGGTTCTTCCGGCCGGCTTGGCCCAGGTGCTTTCTGCCTTGCAGGCCCAGCAGAACGCTCAAGCTCAACTTCTAATTCCAGTAAGCAGTATTCCCACTTATAATGCTGCCATGGACTCCAATCCAGTCCTGATCAACATTTACAAGAAGTTCCCCTACCCGTCGGTGTCTGAGATAATGGGACTTGCAGCCCAGACCAAGTTCAGCGAGGAGCAGATAAAGATCTGGTTTTCAGCTCAGCGCTTGAAGCACGGCGTTAGCTGGACCCCAGAAGAGGTCGAGGAGGCCAGGAGGAAGCAATTTAATGGCACAGTCCACACAGTTCCCCAGACCATCACTGTCATCCCAGCCCATCATCTTTCTTCTACTAATGGCCTGCAGTCTATTCTTCAAACCTGCCAGATTGTGGGGCAACCAGGTCTGGTTCTGACACAGGTCGGAACAGCCAACAGCCTCCCAGTGAGCACCCCAATAACGCTGACAGTAGCCGGAATGCCCAATCAAAGCCAGACTCCCAAGATCGCAACCAATCAAATAAGCCCAGGTCTCAGTGAAACTAAGAGAGCTACTACGGTTCAGCCGCCATCACTGACCCCTCAGGAGAACTCTGCACTCAGTGCCGATCACTTTGGCATGCGCCCTAAGAAATCCAAGGAGCAGCTGGCTGAATTGAAAGCAAGCTATCTGAAGAATCAGTTTGCTACTGATGCTGAGATAGCTAGGCTAATGAAGTTGACCAACCTCACCAAAGGCGAGATTAAAAAGTGGTTCAGTGACACCCGATACAACCAGCGTAATTCTAAGAACAGCCACACCACCCTCCAGAACGACAATCCCAGGGGTAGTAGTAGCACCACCATTGTTATCGACTCCAGTGACGAAACGCCACAGTCTCCAACACCATCGCCCGTAAAAGAGAAGGAGACGCGCGCCAAGACCTGGAACCCCTTCCCCGACTTTACTCTGCAGAAGTTTAAAGAGAAGACACCGGAGCAGTTGGTGGTTCTAGAGGAAAGCTTTCAGAAATGTGACACACCAACCGACGAAGAGCTCAGCCGACTAAGAGCCGAGACCAAGCTTACCAGACGAGAGATTGACGCCTGGTTCACAGAAAAGAGAAAAGCCCCTGTGCCTGATTCCTCAGAGTCAAAAGCAGAAGGTGAATCCTCCCAGAAGAAGGGGAGCCAAACGCCACCTGGTGGGAAGAGGGTAAGCAAAGAGAAGGTTACTAAAAAAACTCCGGAGCAGCTTCATGTTCTAAAAACTGCGTTCGTTCGGACCCAGTGGCCCTCGGCAGAAGAATACGACCAGCTGGCTGAGGAGAGCAGGCTACCTCGCTCCTACATCGTCAACTGGTTTGGCGATACACGCTACGCCTGGAAGAACGGCAACTTGAAGTGGTATTTTTACTATCAAAGTGGAAATGTGGGAGGAACAAATGGCAACAAAAACAGAAAACGGAGGATTCGGAATCGCGGTTGGGGGAGAACCCGTAATCGAAAAGTGAAGAAGCCCACGGGATCGGAGAAGAATTTACCTATCAGGTTTAAGTCTGGACGAGATATTCTGAAGGAATATTATTTGAAGCACAAGTTTCTGAACGAACAGGACTTGGATGAACTTGTCGCCAAGTCTAACATGAGCTACGAGCAGGTGAGAGAGTGGTTTGCTGAGATTCGTCGAAAGGAGGAAATGGGTACCAACCCATTTGAAGATAAAACGGGAAACGAGGAACAAGATGAGGAAGAGGACGAGTCACTGGGTGAAAACGAGACGGCAATTGAGGAGCAGGGACCTTCTGCCTTGGGAGATGAAGAAGGTGACGATGATGAGGACACGGATGACAGCGATTCCTGGGAGCCTCCACAGAGCGTTCGAAAAACATTATCCATGTCTGGGGGTCAGTGATCTGTCCGAATTGGCTTTATTCTAAGCAATGGCCCTTGGTGGAAAACCATGACTGTGTTGGGTTTCGACTACATGCCCTCTACCACTGCACCAATTCTGCTTATATTGTACATAGTTTCAATTAAGGTTTGACAAGTTCTTTCTAGCATAAACATTGAGTTTTTTTTAGTCAGAATGTTTGGTTTCACTCAAAACTTGAGAAATCATGCACATGACCAGGGTTTTCTCTTTCTCTTCGGCTCTGAAATGGAGCGATAACTCGAGTCCTTGAATAATCTTGACAATGTCATGCATACCATCTGAACTTGCCTACCAGAATTGGTTATGCACCTTATCCCTTGCAGATGCAAAGACATCCTAGGCC